AGAGTGGGACTTTGCAGAGGGTGGCTGCAGCTCCTATGGAGTCACCATTTCTCCCTGTCATGTGAAGAAGAGACCTGGCTGATGAGCATGGCTGGTTAGGCTTCTAATTCTGCTTTGTTGGGCTGAGGGAGAGAAGCTTTGGATTACAGTGAAAAGTAGGACAGGAAAGCTGGATGAGGGAGGTAGTAACAGGATAGCTGGGGGAGGACATGAGCTTAGGTGTGAATCTTCACCTTGCTGCTTCTTCAGCCACATCCTCGGAAGATTTTACTTCCTCTGGAAGCGGCAATGGTTCAGGACAAATGTTTTTGGGTTTTTTCCCTCCAGGTTGGAGAAGAATGGAAATTGTTGTGATTCTTAGCATCTCCCCAAGGCCAGAGCTAAGAGCAAGCATGGCTTGGATATTGATTGTAGCTGCTCCCTCTCAACATTGCAAGTTTCTGTCTCCTGGTGTCTGCACAGCCTTCAAGTGTTGCAGGAGCATCAGGCTGAGTGACAGTCCTGGTGAAGCTTTCATGCCAGTGCATTGAAAGGAGCAAGAAAATACACTGCCTCCCCCTCAAAAATCCCCACAACAGATGATTTGGTGAGGCTTTCATCCTGATGCATTGAAAGGAGCAAGAACACATGGTGTCTCCCCCTCAAAAGTCCCTTACAAGAGATGATTTCTTTGCAGTCTGGGCAGAGTAAAGAAAATCCTGCTGCTTAAACAGGCTATTTTGTGACAACTGCTGTGCACAAATGATGGCTGCAAGGCAGAGGCAGTCACAAATGGATCCATCAGCTTTTTGGGGTCCTAAAGTAACATGGCCCTGGAGGAGCTGGCTGCAGCTCTTGGTGAGGCAGCAAGCCTGGGATCTGTGACTCTCCCTGAGGTCCAGCTGTTTCACCCATGGCAGGGTGACAGTGTTCTCAGCATCCACTTCATCCTGGCAGCATCTCACCTTCCTGCCCCCCAAGAAACAGCCATGCAGGTCACTGCCAATGCACATTCCTCAGTTGTTTGTCAGCTGCTGGAAGGGGAGATGAACAAACAAGCTGCGGAAGGTGAGGAATACTGAAAAATTCTGGAGCAAACCGCATTCCTTATCACCCATCTGGACCATACTTGCAGGGGAAAAGAATGATCAGTGCCCCATAAATCTAACTCCACCTCTGCATGGGGACAGATGCATATGGTGGGAAGCTGTTGGTAGTTTTGTCCCTGGGTTGAGGGATAACACCCTGCTGAAAGGCTCCCAGGGCAATAGATGGCTCCCTGCCAGCAGCTGTGCCCGGAGTGGGATCTGCAGGCCAATCTCACAGCCAAGACAGCGCCATTCATCGGCACTCAATAAACAAAAGTGCCTCACTGTTTTATCCAGGAGATAAGCATGGAGGGCATGAGATTGCTTTGCCTTGTGTTGTCTGTGCTGAGTGTGGGAGCCCGTGTTGGCTGCCAAAGGAGCTGAGGCGCTGCTGCTGTGGCACATGCTGTGGCCAGGCAGGGAACGGGGCTGCCTGTGGTGACACACGCTGTGGCCAGGCAGGGAACAGGGTTGCCTGTGGTGGCACCTGCTGTGGCCAGGCAGGGAACGGGGCTGCCTGTGGTGGCACCTGCTGTGGCCAGGCAGGGAATGGGGCTGTCTGTGGTGGCACCTGCTGTGGCCAGGCAGGGAACGGGGCTGCCTGTGGTGGCACCTGCTGTGGCCAGGCAGGGAATGGGGCTGCCTGTGGTGGCACCTGCTGTGGCCAGGCAGGGAACGGGGCTGTCTGCAGTCTCTTTTCAAGGAGTAATGGACAGAGAGGACAGACAGACCACATACATTGGGTTCACCGGTGTGGTCTTGCATCTTGAGTTTTTGGGAACAACAGAGCCGGGTTTGGGGTTAAGCTGTCCCCTTCTTGCACTCTCCAGCTGCATCCACATCTTTTCTCACTTCTGTAATATCAAGTACTTGCACAGCAAATGAAACCAGAGCAGTGGTTTCTGGGTGCTTCCTGCCATCCCAGCCAATGGCCAGCTGTGAATCTGTTCATTTACACCTTCTGTTTGACTACACCCTGGATGCCTCCCCTAACACCTCTGTGCTGTTACCTTTGGCAACGCATCCTGTGGTCTCAATGGAGAGCAAGAGCAGGCTTGGTTGGGATTGATTTTTCCAGAAAATGATGTTGACTGGTGCTAATTACATTACTGCCTCTTCAATATTTATCAGTTGAATTGTCTACCAGCGCTCTGAGAATCATGTCCAGGCCAAGGGAGCAGTGACCAAGCTTGCTCAATTTTACTTTTTTAAGTGTTGGTTTAATAACCACACTCAGCAGGCACTTGGGGATTTCAGTTGCAGTCCACAATTTATTAAAACAGAAAACAATACTAATGGGGAAGGAAACTGAAGAGCAAGACCTCGTGACAGCCTCTTTCTTTGCAGCAGACTGAACTTGACCCATGTCCCTGCAGGGCTGAGCCAGCCCACAGCCCTCTGGGAGGTGGGCTGAAAGCAGTGCAGGATTTTGAGACTCACACAGGACAAGCTTTGTGACAAGGAGAGCACAGACCTGGTCTAATGCTCCTGTGTGCACCACGATGACAACAATGTTGCCTTGTACAGGAGGTCCTGAGCTGTGCTCTTCACCTGCTGTCAGACACTGACAGTGCTGCTTTGAAGCTCTGTTTTGCACCAAACACATTTAAATCTTTTTTGTGTCTGTCAGGAGAAAAAAATTATGCCTGAAAGCAGAGGAAACCTTGACAACCTGGCACTTGCTGAATACGAACTTTCTTCCTCTGCTTCCTTTTTTTATGCCCTCTCTTAAATGCTGCCGGAAGAAACGGGTCCTTTGTGCCGTGCAGGTTACAAAGAGCAGTTGTTCTCATGCAGCAGAACCAAAAATAAAATGTGTGATTGCAGTCCTCCTGAGATGCAGCACAAGGATGGACAGTGTTAACCTCTTCTTTGCCAGGGGATGGTAGTGTCTTGCCAGCACATCTACACTGTGATAAACATCTAGATAAAACATCTAGATAAAACATCTATAAAACATATAGATAGCAACATCTATACCTCAAGCCACACTGAGTTCAGCTCAGCTTTTGACTGAGAGGATACAGCACAGTGAAACCCACTGATGCCTTTACAAATCAGGGCAGAGTGGGGATATGCCACCACCAAGGAAAGGGGTGGGAAGCAATTTTGCAGCTGGGGAGTAAGAAGACCTCAACTCCTCCACACTGTTCCCCAAGCTGGGAATTCCTGCAGGAGTGCCCACCACAGCAGCCTGCCTGCAACCCAGCCTTGCTGCCTGTTTTTCCAAAGTATGGTGGAGATAGGACTGTGGGATTGGATAGGCTATTCTGGCATCTCCCTGCCCACTGCACTAGCATTTTCTCTTGTGCTGGATGCTCATCCAATATATGCCCACAAAATGGCCACAGGACACAGGTCTCCTTCCTTGGTCAGGCACCTCCCTTCTGGAGAGAGCTTTCCACCTCCAGTGCTGTATCTTCCCATGCTTTGCTTAGCCTGGGTTGAATAGCACACAAGGAAAGCTGATCCCCTTTTCACCTATATCCAACTCACTACCATTGGCGTCTGATGCTTCACTGGCCTCTGGTTTACAGCTTCTTCTTACCTTGGGTTCCAGGTCCCTGACTGTGATAACAAGCTCCTCTTGTTTTCAGGTGTGTGAAGAACTGTGAGGTTTCTGGGCCGTTCACTGCGACTCCATATAAGTGTCACTTCTCTGTACACAATGTCCTCATTAGCCCTACATGCTCCTGGGAGCATCCTTGTAGGCACTCTTTTCTAGTCACCTCCAATTCCTTGCACAGGATAACTGCACTGATGCTCTGCCAGCTTCCATGGGCCCTTGGTACAGAGCTGGTAATCCCACACTCACAGGGCCTGGTGTATGTGAGCAATGAGGGAGGCTCTTAGAGATGAATTCCCCTGGAGATCTTCACCTCTTTCCCTGGTGGTAGCACACCTGTGGATGCCACAGAATCACAAAATGGTTTGGGTTGGAAGAGACCTTGAAGATCATCTTGCTCTATCCTGCTCTAGTGGACACCTTCCACTAGATCAGGTAACTCAGAGCCCCATCCAGCCTGGCCTTGAACACTGCTGGGGATGGGGCATCCACAGCTTCCCTGGGAACCTGTTCCAGTGCCTCACCACCCTCACCACAAAGAACTTGGTCATCCCAAGAAGCACAGAGATCTGTTTGGCTGCTGCTGTCCTCCTTACCATTAAAATACTTAATTTCCAAGGCCTGATGAAACAGTCTCTGTTGATGTTTTGTCCCAGCAAGGATTTAGGTCCCATAATACTCCTGAGAACTCCAGGTCCACAGTGGAGCCTGCTAACCCCAAAAATCAAGGCCTGCCAGTGGTATGGTGGCTTTCCTGAGGGGTGGTGTGCAGCACAGCATGGTGACCCAATGGGCACAGTGGGCCTGGCTGGTATCCTGAAGAGAATCACAGAATATGCTGAGTTGGAAAGGACCCATATGGATCATCGAATTCAACTCCTGCCCCTGCACAGGACATTCCCAGGAGTCACACTCTGTGTCTCAGAGCATTGTCCAAACACTTCTTGTGCTCTGTCAGGCTCGGTGCCGTGACCGCTTCCCTGAGGAACCTGTTCAGTGCCCAGCCACGCTCTGGGTGCGGAACCTTTTTCTAATGGCCAACCTAAACCTGCCCTGACACAATTTCAGGCCGTTCCCTCGGGTACAGATGACAGACTCATTATTTCTCCCCGCTGCCGCTCGCCCCGTGTCCAGCCGTGAGCGGCCTCTCAGTTCGGCTGTGGGCGCGGCCCGGGGCCGCTCGGGGCACGGCGGGGCAGTCCCGGCCCCCGCGCCCGGCCGGGGGAGGCGGCGGCGCTGCCCGGGCGCCCCGGCCCGCGTTGCCATGGGGACGCGGCGGCCGCCCCGGCGGGGAGGGACAGGCGGCGGCGGCGGCGGCGGCGGTTCCTGCGCCGAGCGCGGCCGGAGGGGGCAGAGCTGAGTCGGGCCGGGCCGCGCCGCGCAGGAGCTCCGCACCCCGCGCCGCACCGTCCCCGGCCCCGGCGGGAACCGCCGCCGCCGCCGCCCGGTAAGTGTGGGCACGGCCCTTCCCGAGTCCTCCGGAGGCGCCGCCGGGGGTCCCGACACCCCTCCTGCCGCCGGGATGCAAGCTCGGCCATGCACGCCGGCCTGGCTCCTGCTGCACCGGCCCCGCCGCCGCTCCCCCCGGCCCCTCATCTCCGGGGTGTGCCGGCCGCCCTTCCTGCCCCCCGGGCCCCGGAGAGCCGGCTCCTCGCCCCGGGGGGCTGCCGGCTCCCCACGTACCCACCTCCCTCCCCGGAGCTGCGGGCTCCCCTTGCCCGCCGCCACTTCCCCTCCTCACCCTGGGGGTTTTCGGTGTTCCCAGCCCCTCCCTGCTCCCCGGGCTGGCTCCCCGTGCCTGCGTGCGGGCCCGGGGCTGATGTTCCCCCTGCCGTGGAGCGGGGCTTGCCCTTGCCGGGCGCGGGGGCTGCAGCCCGGCGCGCCTTCCTCTGCCCTGCCCGCGCCGGGGAAATTGCGGCGACACGTGTGCGGCTCCTGCGAGCCCTTCAGTGCCCCGGAGCTGCAGCTTTTTATATTGAAAGCGGTTGACGAGTTTCTCCGGGCTTTGATTTTGGGGCGAATCGAATTCCCTGACCGCCCCGGTGGCAGCGCAGGTCCTGCATCTAAGCCCCTCTGAGCTCCTTCCAGACTCTCCTAAGCCAGATCCCTGCCTCTTTGAGATAGGTCAAGGTTATTGTGCTCTTCGTGCAGTGGACGGGGAGAGTGGAAATGTGGACAGACTGTGGGATTTCCTCAAGGTCACCCTGGGAATTGGACCCCAAGCATCCTCTTGCTGCACCCTCTGCAGCTGCTGGGTGAGGCTGAAGTTGTGGAAATCGGATTTTCCAGTGTTCCAGCCTCTTTCTTGCAAGACTTCTCAGATTGTAGGGTATATACCTTGCCAGGTGTCAGGGCAGGATCCCAGATATATTTATTTGGCCTGATGTCTTTTGGCTATTAGATGTTTACAGTTCAATAGTGGGTATTTTTACCATAGTGTGTTAATCTCTGAGATCTCGCTTCTGTTAGGATCTGACTTTGTGGTGCTGCTGTTGCTGCTTTGGGATGGTATCTGCAGTGATTTTGATCACTGCAAGTAACTGTGGCTTTGCTTCTCAAGAACTTGCTTCTTGGCAGTGCCAAGCAAAAGACAACTGAACTAGAGTGGTACTGATAAGGATGTATCGCCTGGGACTCGGGCTGTGGTTGTCTTCTTGTCCTCTCCTTCTGTTTTGGTTTGCAGGCTGTTATAAACAAGGGAGTAGGCAAGGTTTAATAGGAGGAGTTCCTCTCACCTCTTCCTCAGAAAATAAACACGAGGATTTAATGAGCGTTTACACCTTTGAATGTCTTGCCTGTAGGATTTTAACTGCGTGCTGTTACTTGCAGTTGTTCATACAGGTGCAGTTTTTCTCCTGGTGCTGTGCTCTTGGGCTCATCTCACGAAATGCCTGTCATAGTAAGGAGCGTTATGTTTTGGGGGTGGTGGTGATCTGTGGCACAGATGGATGGCTGAGATGGAAAAGGGATCAAATCTGTGTTGTAAACTGAAGCCCTGCTCTTGAAGGAAAGGCTGCAGTCCTGTTTGGTGCCCAGCAATCTTGTTAATGTCTTACTAGGATGCCAGAGCCTGTGAGCATCTTCCTGCTGCCGTTTTAGGAAGGGATAGTGTGCTGTATTAAGTTACTAAAAAGTAGAAATCACTGACAGCCTGTCAAGGCCATTTGCTCCCCTTTTACTGCCAAGATTTAAATTAGTGGACAAGATGGGGGAAATACCTACCTGGCTAGCCAAGGTGACAGCAGCATGTCCATGTGGAAGCAGCCCCCTGCTCGCTTGTGCATCATGTTTTTACTTGTAGGTCTCTGCCAGGGCAAAGGTGTGATGGAGGCATGGTGACTGGTGGCTGACTGGTGTGCCTTGAAACCTGGGAGCCATAGGATTTGGAGCTGTCTGATAAGGGAAATTTGGGGAAAGTCTTGCTTAGAAGCTGTAAGCATTTCATGTGTCTATACAGCTGTTCTTGCATAACTGTTTTCATCCTGAGAATTGTGAAATAGTAGGAGGGAGAAATTTCCCAAAGTGGGACAGCTGTGTTTCCAGGTGAGTAAATGTTGTGTTGTGTTTAGCTACAATAAAATCTGTGTGTAGAGCCAACATCCCTGACCAGGGGCCCAATTCTGCAGATTCCTGTGAGAACAGCTTTTCCTTGAAGGTTAAAGCCCAATCTAACATCATTGTTGCAGGGTGTGTGATGATCATGCAGTGCTGTGAAAATAGTTAAATATCTTTGGCACTTCTTGAGGAATACACCCAGTGTTGATGGCTGGGTGTGCAGCTGCAGTGTGAGCTGAGGTTTGTGCCCTGGGTGGGGGAAATGTCAGGAGCCAGGAAAGGGGCTGTGACCTGGTGCTGACCCTTTGGACAGCCGAGGGCACAGGGATACAGCAGGAGCTGATGACTCAGCAAGAAGACCCCAGACTGTCTGGGTGCACAAACTGTAAGAGTATAAAAGCCCAGGAATGCTTTTGTTAGGGGTGCCTCCCCAGAGGCACCAGGTCAAGCTGGTTTTGTGTCACTGCACCACGATTAAATTACTTAGAGGATCCAGACATCTGAGACTGCTGTGGGAAACCCAGGGCTGAGCCAGTAAGGAAACCCTGTCTGACTGTGAGTGTGGGGTGTGCAGGGAGCCAAAAGGGCCACCCAAGGGGTCACTGGAGCCATCTGCTGTGAAGGGACTTTAGTCCCAGCAGTGAAAGTCTTGGAATGGGGGGAGTGTGACTGACAGAGTGGCTCCTGGGTGGTCAGACAGGAAAGTTTCTTTAACACACTCTGGATTTTTATCTGAATAATCTGCAGCCAGGAGGCTCTAAGATGGGTGATGAGTTGTTCCTTCTTCCTCAGCAAAGAATACCTGGGTGTGGAATAAGGATGCATGGTCTCCATTTCCAGTCCTCCAAAGGATCAGGCCTTGTGTTTGCTGATGAGCTGGCAGGTACTTGTTTTACAGATGCTGGCAAGCCTCTGGGCTCCCACCCCACTGTGGAAATAAGATGCTTTTGGAGGGTAATTGCCAGATTCACAGTAGCTACTGGAAGGTGGGATGTCCTTGTGAAGTCCAAGGGATGAAAGGCCTTTGTGGTGGGAAGAAAAGTTTAGCAGCATTGACCATAACTGCAGAGGGACTCATGTCCCCTGGTGCTGACTAGAAGCAGGTCTGCCTTGTTCCACACCATCCTTGCTTTTGTCACTTGATCCCTGGTCTCACTTGCAGGCAGGGACCTGCAAATCTTTTGCACTGCCAACTTTCCAGTGCCAGTAAGATGTCTTGCACAGGGTGTATCTCTTAATGGGCTGGGTTTATCTGCCTAAAATCATATTGTGCTTTCAGAATGACATAAAAGGGCTTTGAACTAGGCCCCAAAGGGAAAGGAAAAGGGTTGAAAAAATGCAAAATATTTTTGTTCCATTGTTAGAAGAGCCTGGGCTGGGGAGATGATATGTAACCAAACCAGGTTTGGAATGGCTGGGACAAATGATCCTGAGTGCTGCAGTTCGTGTGTGCTATGATAGGATGCTGATGCACTGTGAAGGGAGTTTCTACTTTTCCCCTTTTCTAGGCTCTTTCAGAACAGAGGTATTTCTTCCTAAGATTGATTTCTTCCTGACCTTCCTTTTTCACAGTTTTTTCCTCCCCCTGTTGTTGTCTGTTTTGTTTGTTTTGGGGTTTTTGTTGTTGGTTGGGTTCTTTGTTTGTTTGGGATTTTTTGTTTTGGTTTTTCTTTCCCCTTTGTTTCTTTGTTTTTCCCTAGAATGAAATTTCTGCACAGCTGATGGTCCATCAGTGGTGTCCCAGTGGCCCTCAGTGCTGTCCCAGAGCTGAGCACCTTCACCTTTTCAGGAGTAAGTTGATACAGCTCTGGCAGACAGTGGAGCAAATTTAGTTAGCACCAGCTGAGTTTGAGCATCATGTGGGAGCCCTGGAGCAACAGGAGGAGTCTGGTCCCACAGCCTGTTTAGCCTGTCACTTACAAGTTTGTTAATGTCCCGTTAACAGGACATTATGTTAAGGTCCAGTTGGACCTGTCTTTCTCCCAGCTGCCTCTGCTCTCCTGTGAAAATCTGCAGTGCTGTGTAGGACAAATGTCTGTTCTGCTCCTTCTACAGCAACAGTGCAGGATGGGGAAGAATCTGCCTGTTCATAGCATTCTGCCTTCTGCTGCTGCAGGTACATAAGGACTGGTAATTATTCCTTTTGCATCCATGATGCATTCTCCTAAATCCTTAACTGTGTTTTCAGGAAATGCAAAAGTCTGCTTTAATGCCCATGTTTGTATATTCAGGCTCTATTAGAAGTGACCAGACATCTGCACTACTACAGGTTGGGAGATAGAGAATTGTCAATTACTTATCATGGCAAATGAGCTGGAGATGCTGCCTGTTGTAGGCAGTGCATTGTTTTTATTTGTTACCCTTGAACATGTTGAATACCATGACTGTGTTCCATGGTGCATTCCTCATAAATAAATGGCTGCAGGGACTCCAGCCTTGCTGGAGACAGTTGTCTTGACTGTCTGCAGTGAGACAACAGGGATGTGACTGCAAGTGCCTGTTCTCTGCCAGAGAAGTGTCTGAGGTCTAACACGGCAGTGTGTTTCAGCTTCTCTGGCACCATGATGTAGTGAAGCCATCCTCCTTCAGCAGGGCTGAGTCCTCTGGCTGTACCTGCTGGCTTTGGGGACTGTCACTTGGCCGTATCCAGCTAACAGTGGCAGCTTGCTAGAGCTAACACTGTGTTGCTCCAGCTAATCCTAACAGCAGATAAATATTTTCCTATCCTCTTCTGTTTGTCTTCCAGCACAGAGATAGCAGGAAGGAGGAGTTGGATTGAGCTGTCCAATGCCAGACTTGGATGTTGCTTTAACCGTGCAGTATTGATTACCTGGTAGTTTGAGTTATTGTGAAGATAAAGTAACAGGAGGTACAAAAGCTTTAGAAAACAAG